CTGTTTTCAATACAATATATTTCTGGGTTGTCAAAAACTCTCAAGTATACTATAAGGAGGTAACAAAGGCTGAAATATTATAAATCAATAAGGAATGCATCCCAAATTAAGTTTGGGATCATCTTAAATCCTCACCAAGATCTGTTTCTATAAACTAAAGCTTTGAGCAATAGTAACTAGTATCTATTAACATAAAGATGTGGGGAGTATGCATTCTGTGATTGGGTTTGGGTCATTCCTAATAATATGTAAAAATATCTCTAGGAATTTTGCCACAACATCACATCTAGCAAAATCCTTTGCTTAAAAGATGCTTTCAAGCATAATAGTGCTTGACAAATACAAGAAGACTGAGAACAGATGTGATCTTGGTTTTTTTCTAACTAATTTAGCATTTTCAAACTTTCATCGCAAAAACTCACTCTTTCAGTATTCTCAGACACAGTATTTTGTTCTTACCATATGTAGGTAGGTGAACAGAGGTCCAAGTATAGGGCAGATCAAAGATTCATAGTGTTCAGGTGGGCAGGAGACAACCAAAGGTTTCACAAAAACACCTTGCATGAAACTAGTTAAAGAAGTGGAGCAGCACAAATACACATCTATATTTCCCCCACGGAAAACCATTAGATTCATCCAGTCATGGCAATTTCTGCTCTTGAACTGATAATTTTGCTCCCAGATACCTCAGAACAGGCAGATGCACTCATCTCTGAATTTTTCATAGATCTGATTTTTTCCAACACCCCTCCCCCAAAAGACATTAGATTCTCAAGGAAAGAATGAGAGAAATCTCATTTAGAAATCTAAATCAGGATTTTACAATGCACTGATATGGCCATAGTCCACTAGAGGTATCATGTAACAAAATGCAGTACATTATTTTAAGTGTAGGATGAAACAGCTATTAAGACCACACTTGCCTTAGTAGACTACAAGTTCTACAAGTCTGATTTAAATGGGATCTCTCTTTCCTTTTGGACAGTGAAAAACATTGGATCAATGGATGCAGATGTTTAGTAGGATCTACCCGCTGAACATCTGCATCTGTTGAATCGTGTTAGAATCACAGAAATGTCTGCCTTCATTCTGAGCTATTCAAATCGTTTAAAAACCTTGGGAGGCATATACCTTTATATTCTATTCTGATACAAGTAGTCCTTGACTTGTAACAGTTCATTTAGTGACTCTTCAAAGTTACTACAGCACTGAAAAAAGTGACATGATTATTTTTCATACTTACAACTGTTGTGACATTCCCATGGTCATGTGATCAAAATTCGAACACCTGGCAACTGACTCATGTTTGTGATAGTTGCAGTGTCCCGGGGTCATGCGATTACCTTTTACGACCTTCTAACAAGCAAAGTCAATTGGGAAGCTAGATTCACTTTACAACCGTGTGGCTAACTTAACAACTGCAGTGAGTCACTTAACAACCATGGCAAGAAAGGTCATAAAATGGGGCAAAATTTAACAACCATCTCACTTAGCAAAATAAATTTTGGGCTCATTTGCAGTCGTAAATTGAGGACTACCTGTACTATCTAGGTTGCTTTTAGTATTTTTTTTTAAACTAATTAGATCTACAATCTATAATGAATCTGGTCAGTTGCCGAAAAAGGGGTCCTAATTAAGAACAAGACTCAAGCTGGGACATTGTATGGAAATCAGAATAAATTTGGAAGAACTATAAACAAAAACCAGACAAAGGATACGAAGCATAGGGCGGAGTCTGTAGTCAGGAATATTGTCCAGATTGATGAAGGCTGAGTTGAGGAGCTCAGCTGCTAGACCCTCAACAACATAGAAATCTTGCTGCATGGATGAGCCAGCACTACCCAGAATGTGGAAACTGCAATTCAAAAAGCACAGTCTAGGAGAGCCAAAAGGTACTCTGCTTCAAAAAACTTCCTTGTACTTTATCTGTGCAAAATAAAATTGGCTTTTTGGATCAGGCCAATTTCCATCTAGCCCATCTACATTCCTTTCTCTTTATAGCCGTTACAAGAACATACAAATCCAATTTCCATCTAGTCCAGCTACATTCCTTTCTCTTTATAGCCGTTACAAGAACATACAAATCCAGCTGGGTCAAAGATCTTCCTTGTCCCATACTGGAAAAGTAGTAGAATGTCCACAGGTGAAGTAACATAGCATTATGGAAAATCTATGAATTTCTTACCAGTTGTCATAGAGTGTACAGAAGAACCCCTGCATCCTTTCTAAGACTGTTTTGTAAACAGGAGAATCATAAAGTTCCAGCAAAGGCTGGGGGAGACCTAACAAAAGAGGAAATACTATCAGTGGAGAGATTCATGTCCTCAGGCAGTGACCTGAGCAGTTCTGGCTACCAAAAGCACAAATTTACTTGTGGATGTTTGGAGTGGGTCAATTTGGAGCATGAATGCTTTTAATTTAAAAGTTGAGAGAAACAGCAGTAAAAATGTGATGTTTTCAGAGAGTAGTTATAAGCAAAACAATATTTTTCATGATTATTT